TACTAAAACCTGTGTCCTAACTAATGCAGTGCAAAACTTGGACATACCCTGGCCTTGATTAGGAAACCAGCTAACCACCTAACCGATTCAAAACCATGATATCAAGTCTTTTATGAAAGATAGATAGGTGGCTTAGTTTTTGGAAGTTAAGGCCTATATCTAGAGAGCTCCTAAGTGGCCTTGTACTTATGTTGTATAAAAGCTCCTAGAGCTAATGCAATTAAAATTTTAATTTAATTGATTTCTAAGGCAATGCATGCTGGTTGAAAATCAGAATCATATATGCTTTAGACTTTAAAAAAAATAAGCTTATAGAAAATAAATTTTTTGAAAAGATTGGGCCTCCCTAGATCCACCACTTCATCCTTATAGGCCAGATTATTTGAACTATACTTGTAGGCAGGGATGTATCTTATTAGAAGGAGAGAAATAATTATGGTATTATATGAAAGTACACTGAAGGTACTTGAAAGTTCGTTAGGGATGTTAATCCCTTATGAACTAGTCCCAAGGCCAACCAAGAGGGGGGTGAATTGTATATTAAAACTAAAAATACAAACACATCCAAAACCAAGATTCACCACAAAGAAATTCAAAGTGCGAAAACAAATGCGAAAATAATAAAGGAAAGAACACACAAGATTTATAGTGGTTCGGTCAAACCTTGACCTACGTCTACTCCTCGGAGTCACCCTCTAAGTATTACACTAAAATTAGTCTCTCCTTTAGCCCCCAAAACTAGGCTTACAAAATCACATCTACCTTCCTCAGTACGGCAGAGTAGCCGGGCCCTTTTGACACCAAAGAGATCTTCTTCTTCCCAAAACTTCCGTCAAGATGAGCCTTGAATCCGACGATACTAAGGTGCAAGCTTACCATAACAACTATATGGAACCCCCTCCATACTCCCTTGAAACTTCCTCCAAGGATCTTCTCCCTCTCTCAAACTCCACCCTTTCCTCTCTCTCTTTCAAGCTCTCTCTTCAAGTTTCCTCCAGAAGAACAAAGCTTCAATGGTTGCCAAAGACATTCTTCATGAGAAAGCAAGAGGTCTTTAAATAGATTTTCAAATTTGATATTATCGTCTAGGACCATCGCCGGATCATCCCGTATAATATACTTTAAAAATAGAGCTTTTGAAAGCCCTAAAAACTCAATTTCGATGCCAAACATCATCCAGGATGATCGCAGGATCGTCCCATACAATGTGCTAAAAAAGAGGACTTCAAAAAACCCTAAAAACTCAATTTCGATACCCAGAATCATCCTGGACTATCGGAGGATCGTCCAGGACAATGTGCATAATTTGACCTAATAGTCTTAGACGATATTTGGATAGTCCAGGATGATTAATACAAAAATGTATAGATTATCCAGGATGATATGGTGGATCATCTAGGATGATTAGAAGAAAAATTATGGTATTTCGGCTTCGACAATTTAGGAAAATCAAGTATTTCGGCAAACATTGTCCTGTACGATATACAGATCATCCAGGACGATCGGATTGAAAATTTTAATCATACTTAATCTCCTAATCACAAGATGTATTTAGGTATGATTTTTATTGATCTTCCTAGATGATCTAGATCATCTAGGATGATTAGAATAAAAACTAAATATTAAAATCTTGCCTAAATTAGTATTGGCGGCTATTTTCCAATATCATAAAGAATCGTCCTGGACGATCCAAAATTGTCCAGTATGATTAGCTCAAAACTTGATCTTCTGGATTTGACTAGATCTCACTCCCTTGAGTGTGTGTATGCATGGTCACCAAGCAAGCATACATCCCTACAAAACTTGACTCAAGATCAAAATTATATTAATGAATATTACAGATTCTTTTACAATATAACATTATTCAACCCAATCTTGAGCTATAATTCTTTGTTTGACGTTGCATGGTATTCCTGAAAAATTAGTATACACATAAATAAACATATATTACAAATACAAGTAGACAATAGAAAATGAGACATAATATTTGTTATCATCAAAAACATAAACTCATAAGCTCGAGTTGCAACATTATGTATGTGACCCTAGATGATTCTGGTAGTTCCCTAGGACATTAGGTTTCTATGTTATTTAATTCTTAGAATTTTAGAAATTAATTATGAGTAGAAAAACGTTTTTAGTCCTTGAAGAGCCTAACGAAATATAGGCTAAAACAAAAGCAACATGCAAGTCACCAATAAACTAGGAAAAGCAACCCTAGAGGCACACATCATAAATAAAACACATCAAAATAATCGAACTAATTAATAAATATCCATAGGCCAACTACCCTTAATTATAAATCAAGGTCTGCAATAAAATAAAGTGGTCGGGCACTACTGCCAACAACCTAGATTTCTAAGCCTAAGAATGACGCAAATGACATTGAGTTGGATATTGGGTCTTCAACTCTTCAATCTTTTATTCTTCGATTCCTCCTCCTTTAACTTCTTAGGTTTCTCCTCCTTGGGCTATTTGGATTCATCGTGGCTTGAATATCGAAACGAAGAGACAATCTCCCCTTAAAGGGGTATTTCCTTTTCTCTTTGGATATCTAAAAGACATCCAAACTTGATTTTCCAAATGGGAGAAGACTCCCCCTCTTGAGGATGCCTTCTTCTTTAGAATTCAAGTTGGATGAGGATATTCAAACTAAAATGACATTTTCATAACTCACAATAATATTATAAAATAATTATATTAATGGAATGTAGTAAATTATAGACTCTCCTACAAGGTTATCCTAATAAAAATTCTCAAGTAGTTTATATAGAAAATAAAAATAACTCATACCAGTTACACTTGGCCATGCTCTTAATTATTTTGAGGGTTAAGCAGTCGTTGGATCACCTGTAGCAATTATAATTATAATTTTGATTTAGCCCTCATTTATTTAGGAGGGCTGAACAAATTCTGAAGCACCAGCACAAGATATTATTAGCATATAAATCATGATAATTTCTCCCCTTTTTATTTAGTGCTGCATGAGCATGACCCCCTGTAGAAAACATCATTAGTATAAAAATATTGATCCTAACCTAGGGGTAAATCTAGCACATAATTACATCAATTTCTAGAGTACAATAAAAGTAAGTAAACATAGTAACAATTTCATCCACAACATGTAGTAAAATCTTAGAAAAATTGACACACAGTAGAAACGTAAACACCGGCCTAGCCTAAGTCTAGAAGTGGTGCCCAAGTAAATAATTCTATGTGTGTCTAA